AGGGCCGGCTTAGTGGTCACATATTCTTTCAGTTTCTGCCGGTCGTGGAAGCGCTGCATCTCTCCATCCATTCTAAATGACAGCCTTGCCGGAGAAAGTATTCTTGGCTGCATGTTCTTCTCATTTAGTACCCTGAATATGTCTTGCCAGTCCTTTCTGGCTTGCCACATCCCTTTGGAAAGGGTTGACGTTATTCTGATGTTCCTCCCTCTGTACGTAAGGAATCTCTTCCCCCTAACTGCCCTTAAGATGGTTTCCTTGATTCTAAGATTTATGAGTTTTACTATTACATGCTGGCGCGTTGGCCTGTTTTCCTTGATCTTGGGAGGGGTCCTCTCTGCCTCTAGGACACGAATGCTTGTTTCATTCCCCACATTAAGGAAGTTGTCAGCTACAGTTTGTTCAAATATATTTTCTAGTCCTCTCTCTCTCTCCACTCCCCTCAGGGATCCCAATAATTCTGACGTTGGAATGTTTCATGTTGTCACTTACTTCTCTGATTCTATTTTCATGGATTTTGAGTTGTTTTTCCCTGGCCTCCTCTTTTTCCTTCTTATCTAGTAATTAGTCTTCTAGATCACTAATTTGTTCTTCTACCTCACTTACTCTAGCTGTTAGATTATCTAGATTAGATTGGATCTCATTGATAGCGTTTTTAAGTTCTACCAATTCAGCTTTCATTTCTGCCCTTAGAGCTCTATGTTGCCATTAATCAATTTCTCCATTTTAGCTATTGTCTTCACCATTGGTACCCTGAATTCCATTTCCGACATCTTGGTTTTATCTGTATCCATTTGTAAATCTGTGGCAGAAGTCACAGTCTCTGAGTCTTTCCTATTTTGGCAGTTCCTCCTCCTAATCATTCTGTTGAGGGGTGGTTGAGGGAATGTACAGAGTCCAAATTATTGACCACAACCCCAGCAAGGTGCACCTGTTTTCATGGAACCTTAGGGTTGCTGGCCTCTTTGTCTCCCAGCTTGTCTTGTGGGGAAGGGGCCTTCTGTGCTTTTACTTAGGCAACCCTGTGTGGGCAGAGTTGCCCTGCCCCCTGTGGCGGGGCATGGGTTCAGTGAAACCAGTTTTTGGGGGCTTTTGTTCTCTGGCGCCTTTCCCTGGCAGATTTCTGTGTCTCTTCTGCGAGTCAGAGCATAAGGTATCGTTTTCAACCTTCTGCCTCAAAGCAGAGAGATCGCAGTCTGTTCTTTAGTGAGCTCTTCAGGCCACACTATCTCCATTTCTGTTTGTGCTGCTATAAACTGCAATGTCCTCACTGTGTGCCCCTGAGCTGCGCTCCCAGTCCTTCCCTCCAGGTAGGGCATGTCTCTGCCCTTTGTGCTTCTATAACTGCCAGCTGCCCCCAGTTCGAACTCGTGGCCCCACTGCTCCGGATTTCAGTACAGGGGGCTCCCCTAAAGTTCTTTCCCCATTGCTACTGCTCTGTGAGTCTGTGCCCTGTCTGCAGCACGGGAGGCTATTGCTCACCATCGGTGTAGGATACCCATGGCTTCCTCCCCCTGCTTGCCCTTTATCCTCCAATATTTGCCCGCAGAATCAAGGCTCCCTGCTTCATACCTCGAAACCAAACGCCTGCGATATTTTGTCTGTAGGGATCCAGGTCTGTCTTCGTACATCTCAGGCTGCTTTCTTTGGTGTTCAGAGTGTTCTGGTAGATTTCCAGCTCAGTTCCGGGGACTGGTTGGAATAGCATCCCCTACTCCTCTGCCATCTTTTCCCAAAACCACTAAAAAGATTTTAAGTTACCAGCTGTTGGAATTTCATCAACTAAAATTCTCATATATTGTTGTTGATTGGAATACAAAATAGTACATTGGCTTTGGAAAATAATTTGACCGTTTCTTGTATGTTTTAAGGTACACTTGCACCTAACCCTGTAACCCATTTATTGGACCCCTATGTATTTACCCAAGATAAATGAAAATATATGTCCTAGAAAGATTTATACATGAATGTTTAGTGTTTTTCACTATTATGAAGAAACAGCACAATGTCCATAAATAGGTGAATGAATGAATTATGGTATATTTATACAATGGAATTTACCCAGCAACAAAAATAATGAATTACAGATCGATGAATTTCTACGATATTGTGCAGACCAAAGTAATTTAGATATAAGAGTATGTTCCATATGATCCCATAGACAATAATAGTGATAATAAGTAAATTGGTTTCTATACAACATTAATTAATTACCTGACTAATTAGTCTTGTTTTAATTTACCTTATTCCCAGAAAGCTTCTGTTGTGTAACAAACACTATCCTGCTACATTCTAGAATGAGTGGGTGAAAAACATTACAGAAGACAGATGAATATGAAGGTGGTGTAGAGATAACCCTCAAAGATAGCTTGAACACTTATGAGAACGAGGCTTGGTCGACAGGGATGCAGAAGCATTGGGAAAGATAAAATAACGATTTTACATGGTGTAGAGTGATGCAGTAAATTTTATTTTAATTAGGAAATAAATGCCCCATACATAACAAGCATTGCTAGGTTATCTGTTGATGCTTTGGTGTCCAAAAGTTACTCAACTCATTTATCTGAAATACAGGACTCATTCCTGACACTTTTCTTAGTATAGAGGCCAAATATATGAGACTTTCTTTCGCTGAAGAGCTGCTAATTTATGCTTGTTCATATTTGTGAATGTGATTTGTTTGCGTTGTCTCATTTTTTATTTGTTTAGAAGGTAAGTATAGGAATGCCTATCTTTGTGTATTTAAGAGGAGTAAATGAGAGTGCTTATGGAAAGTCCTTCATAAACTTTTTCAAGCTCTGTGCAAATGTAAAGTAGTGTTTTCCATCCAGCCCAAGGTCTGGAGAAGAGATGTTGTTGCAAATAATGAAAATGGGAATGAATGCAACTCCTTTCTTACCCCATGCTTTTACTTACAAAATAATATAAATGTAAAAAAATCATAATATTTGTGGTTTCTGAAATGTTTAGATAGTTCTAAAAGAGGAGTGATTATTAACTGTACTTTGTTTGTATTAAGAAAAAACTGAAGGAATCCAGGTATTTGTGAAAGGGCAATATAATGAATATTCTTATTTAATTTCCCTGAGTGACACAGAAAGCACATGGGGGAATTCTGAGCTTGTCCTTTTCTGCTCCTAGCCAAGGAGGCCAGAGGAAAGTGATTGTTTTCCAGCCATGGAGCCAGTTTTGTGTTCTCTTTCTGATGAAATACGGAAAACAGGGTGTGCATGCTCCTCTTACATTTATGTGTACCAGATTTGATGTAGAAAATGTTACTCCAAAGTGTGGAAATTTGAGAAGGCATGGTAACCTGGTGTGCAGTCCCTACGCTTTGTAAAACCTTTCTTCTTTTTTAAAGGTTTTATTTGAGAGAGTGTGAGCGAGTGGGGGGAGGGGCAGAGGGAGAGCGAGCGAGCGAGCGAGAGAGAGAGAGATTCTCAAGCAGACTCCCCGCTGAGCACCAATCCTGACACAGGGCTCAATCCCAGTACCCATGAGATCATGACCTGGGGCAAAATCATGAGTCAGATGCTTAACTGGCTGAGCCACTGCTCCTCTCTTCTTCTTTCTTCTCCTTCTCCTCTTCCTCCTCCCCCTTCTCTTCCTCCTCCTTCTCCTGCTTCTCCTCCTCACCAGTGATGTGTTTAAAGGGTCAAGGATCTAAATCCTGAAAATAAGCTCTTCTGGAAATGTGATGTAGACAACATGACAATAAAATTCTAGGCAGGTTAATCTGTTCCAACCAAATGTCTGAGCACGTTTTATTGTGTTTGTGCCTAACCATGTTAGCTTTTTATTGAAAGGAATAGATGTTATTGTTTGCACTGTTTCCCTTTCTGTTGGTCTGAGAGTAAAAACTCTCATAAGCCTATGTATCTGATAGATAGATGTGAAAGTGGAGGAGGCTGAAACTATGGAGTTAAAGAAGAAATACGAAAAGGGAAGCAAAAATAACCAGAAGTTTGAGCTTCCCTGGAAGATGTTCTAATGGGTTACTTTAGTTAGTGGGAGGAGTGCCCCTTAAACTTTAAAGGACATATGAAGTATATGAAAATGCAGTTTCTGATTCTGTAAGTCTGCGGTTTGACCTGGGAATGTGTATTTCCATAAAGCTCCCATGTGATGATGATTCTGCTCTGAGATGCGCTCAGAGTAGCAAGGCTGGAGAGTTTGGCTGTACCTTTTGGTGAAGGTCATATTTTAAAAAATTTCACTGAAGATAATTTGTCAAAAGGCTAGCTAAATGTAATTTAGTTTTATACCTTCATTAGACTTTCATATAATAAAATTCAAAATTATTCACCCAAAATAAAAGCATTTGTCTGGGCATACCACCCTGAAGTTTTTCATTAATTGCTTCCTTAGTTCAGGTCCCTTGCTGAATACTATGTGAACAAGTTAAATTTGTTCTCCTGCCAGATAGTATCCTAACCCAGGCTGCCATAGGGTTAATGTGTAAAATGTCCAGGTTGTGCCTGTGTTGCCATGGAAAAGGACAGACCATCTAGCTTCTACTTTTGATACTGCCGGCTGGCTCAGGGACCTTGAGTACCACAGCTCTAAAATTCAGCTATTTTTTTTCCTTTGTAGAATGATTGTGGGTATTTGTTTGGTGAGAGGTGAGAAAGCATTTAGTTAGTGCCCATAATTGGTGCTCAATTAATGCTTAAAGAGATTCTTTAGGAGTAAAACGAAGTAGTTTTAAGTCTTATAGGCTTTGGGTAGAAGGAGTCAGAGAGGACAGGAATTGAGAGTAAAACACGTCCTATAACTTAAAAGAAGGACTTCACTAAGCTGCCCTCCTTCCATCTTTAATGGTTTTAGTTGCTCAGATCTTCTACTGAAGTTCTGATCTTTTGTTTAACTTTATTAAATGCAAGTTGCTAACTACTGGGAGAACTTCCTTTTGCTTTTCTTCTATCAGCCTTATCAGAAATGAGTAAATCAGTTAAAGGACAGCAGTCTTGACCATTTCTTCTGTTCCTCTTACTTTGCAGATTATTCTTCAGCTGTTCAGAAATTTTCTCAGACACTTCAGTCCTTTCAGTTTGATTTTATTGGAGACACTCTGACTGATGATGAGATTAACATTGGTAAGTCTTCAGCTACATGTGGCCTTGTGCCTCTTGAGGCAGTTCTGAGACTCCTAGGTTTTTGGATACAGGGAACCTGGGCATCTTCATCCTCTGTGATCTAGTGTCAAGCTCATGGGAGGCTGCTTAAGAAGGGTAAAGAAACATTGTCTCCCAGTCCCCTTCTCCTCTCAAACAAAAGCAATAAAAAGATAGCCCTTAAGCCTCCACTGAGGCCTTTGACTCAGTCAATCTGCAGGGGACTTTTTCTTTAAAGAATCTAATACATGAAAACAGATATTTTTGTAAAATATAAATTAAAGAGTGATTTTTTTAAAAAAAATTCTAAAATGATTTAGAATAACAGTCCTCCAAGGAATAAACTCCTCTAGAATGTTTAAAAGTAACATTTATATATGTCCAGCTTTTCAGACAACAGGACATTTGACATCTCTCTTGGGAACTGAATTTAACAACTCACTCTATGAGCTGTGTGATCTTGGACAGATACTTCCTTTTTCTGAGCCTTAGTCTTATCATCTATAAAATGTGTTTAATATTAATATCAAGAATGTTACCGGGAAGAGATTGAATAGTGGATGTTAAAGAACTTTGTGTTAGTTGGTATGAAGTTAAAGTAGTGTCAGCAAACTATGGCCCTTGGGCCAAATCTTGCCTGCCCCCTTCTTTTGGTAAATAAAGTTTTGTTGGAACACAGCCACATATATTCGTTTAAATATGGTCTAAGGGAAAAAAATATTGTCTAAGGGTACTTTTGTGGTAGGACAACAACATTGAGTAGAAGTAGCAGAGACTGGATGGCTTTCAAAGCCTAAAATATTTGCTCTGGTCATCTAAGAAAAAGTTTGGTAACCAGTGAGCTAAAGAATTAGTGTAAAGCATTTGCTAGACAAGAACACTGGATCACAGGACTATGGTGAATGATTTAATGTCACTGAAACAAGTTAGTTACAAGGTTGTATTTATGAACCCCAGCATTAAAATATGAAAATGTATTATTATTATTTAATGGTCATTGTAGTAAATATGAATAATATATAAAAATATAAAATTACCTATGATAGTAAGATATTCCATCACAGAAACAATGTATTAGTTGGTATTGGCATGTTATATTTTGGCTCTTTTTTGTACATGTGTGTCTTATGTGTATGCAATTTAGTTCATGCTAAATATGTAATTTTATCTTTTTAACCTAACAGTTTATCCTAATCAGCTTCTGATATCATTTAAAATTCTTTGTAAATTTCATGGGGGAGCAAGGACATTGTTTTTATTCACTGCTATTTCCCTAGCATGTAGAGGGTGCCTAACATATAGTAGATACTCAGCACATGTTTGTTGAGTAAATAAATAATGGATGAATTCAGATCTCTTTATTATAGGAGCCATAGTTTATATGATATTCAACTATTTAGCTTATTTCTAATTTTTCACTATTATAAATAATACTGCAATGAGTACTTTCATGAGACTAAGATTGATGACTGTTTTGGTAAATGTGGTAGTGTAACTAATGAGGCACACATTTGCATTTAGATTATTTATTCACTTCATTTTAATTTTGCAGATCTATTTTTGACTAAGGGCATGACTTATTTAAAAGTTAATATCATGAGCTCTAGAGTCAGATAGCCCAAATTTGAACTCTAGCTTTGGAATTTATTATTTGTGTAATCTGGGGAGGTGACTTTCCCTTTTTTGAATGTTAATTTTTCTCATCTTTGAAATAGGGTTGAGATGATCAATGCCAGGTGTGCACAGTGCCTAAATATATGTTAACTGTTTAATCATTGTTAATATAAGACTTGATTTCTTTGTACTCTGCAATGGACTGAGTGCTTCTTTGTCCTTCCCAAAATTCATATGTTGAAATTCTAACCCCTGATATGATGGTATCAAGAGCTGGAGTCTTTGGGAGGTGATTAGGTCATGAAAGTGGAACCCCTCACTGATGGGATTAGTGCCCTCCTAAAAGAGACACCAGAGGACTCTTTTACCCTCCTTCCATCCTGTGAGGATACACAAGAAGTTGTCAGTCTACAACCTCGAAGAGTGCTCTCACCAGAACCTAACTATGCTGACACCCTGATCTCAGACTTCCAGCCTCCAGAACTGTGAGAAATAAATTTCTGTGGTTTATAAACCACTCAGTCTACAGTATTTTGTTATAGCATCCTAAACGTGGTAAGACAGAAAGAAATTGGTACTGGGAAGTCAGGGTGTTCTGTACCAAATACCTAAAAATGTGGAAGTAGCTTTGGAACTGAGTAATGGGAAGAAGCTGCAAAAGTTTGGAGGTGCATGCTAAGAAAAGTCTAGATTGTCATGAATGGCATTTTAAAGGCAATTGTGGTGAGAGCTCAGAAAGAAAAAAGGCGAGCCATAGAGAAAGTTTCCACGAAGAACATGTTATTAGACAATAGAGAAAAGCAATCCTTGTTATAAAGTAGGCAAAGAACTTGGCTGAGTTGTGTTTGCATTCTAGTGTTCTGTGGAAGATGGTGTTTTCTGACTGAAAAAAATTGAATATTTGGCTGAGGAAATTTCTAAGCAAAGTGTTAAAAGAATGGCTTGGTTCCCCCTGTTTCTACCAAAAGCTGAGAGGAGAAAAATGAATTGAAGATGGAATTATTAAACAAAATGGAACCAGAACTTCAAGATTTGGACACTTCTCTGCCTGTCCACATTACAAAAAATGACAGTGTGTTTGGAAGAGAACACCAAGGGTGTGGTGGACTGACCATTGCATAAGGAGATCAATGTGGGTGTGAACCATGGAACAGAAGCCAGGAATAGAGATGGAATTATATGAGCAGAAACACTACCAGCTGGGAGTATAGGAAACAAAAATGGGACAAAATGAAGGAAGACTGACTTCTTAGACCCTATTAGACCAGACCATATAGCTATTTGGCTATGAACATGCACTATTTTTCAAAGACAAGAGAAGAAGGACTCTGAAGCCAATCCTGAGATCATCAGGGCTGCCACTTCCATCACATGTGTAGAGTGCAGAGGCCCTAGGCCTCCCCCTAGATTTGAAAGGGTGAGACCAATGCCCAAGGAGCTGTAAGGGGTGGGCTCTCTGAGGGTACAACACCCATCTTACCGTAAATGTCAACAAGTGCCGTTTAGGAAAAAGGTGTGTGAGTTTGAGCATGATGGCTTATAAACAAAAATAAAAATGGCGGCCCCCTTCCCCCCCCCCCCCCGCTATTGATGCCAGGTTCTTGTGGGTGTTTGTGAGCTCCATTTAAGTTGCTAGCTGTGACACAGCTTCTTAATGTATGCTTTACAACAACACTTTAACTCAGTTGCCATTTGCCTACCATCTCCAGAAACTCACAGTTACCATCTGATCATTGCCTTTAGGGATGATGACTCATGAATTGACTTTTCTTGATGGGGACTGAGAAAAGATTTTGAGATTTTAATTGGCCTGTCATAGTCATTGTCCTTGTTGAATGTGTCATTTTGAGAACTGGGATTTGTGATGGTAGTGAGAAGAACAACCAGTGCTCCAGCAGTTTAAGGTAAGGCTCTTTGGAGGCTTTGAGAGGAAATATTAGACACCCTACTGGGAGGGCATTGTTGGGAAACAGTTGCTTTGGAAGCTGAGACAGGAGAGTGTGCCATACCCTCCAATTGCCAACACTACTGGCCCAGAGTAGGTAGATCTTCTGTTCAACTAGAAAAATTGGTAAAAGTACAGTTATGATAGAATTTTGGGTTGAGATTTAGATTTCACATTATATGTGAAGAGAGCCTTGCAGTTCTTTTCATAATGCATTTTTCATGATGGCTGCAAAATGTGACTCAGTACCATTAACCCCCTTGTAGATACCAGTTGTCTAACAGAGATGGTAGTGATTCCTAGAGGATGTGAGTCAAAACCTGAGGCTTCTTTGGAGAGTCCCTTTCCTTGATCATCAGTGCTAGTAACTAACTTGAGTAGTCTGTGTCTAACAGGGACAAGTGGGAGAAAATGTCTCACTGCCCTGATGATGACATTTGTCCCTGCTCTAGAGCAAGACATCTATGCCTTCAATTGGCATTGCCTGACTTTTTCTCTACCTCTGTAGCTCAGTAACCAAAGGAAATCTCAGGAGTTTGGGTACTTTTGTGTATACTTCAGATTTATTAGCTATGGGATCTTAGCAACATTACCTAAGCTTTTTGGGCCTCTGTTTTCCTCATCTGTAAAGCAGGAAGTATAATCTATTTCATAAGACTGTGAGGAGTAAATCAGATAAATACATATACCAGAGAGTATATGTAAATGATTAGGCTCAGTGTCTGACTTGTGATTGGTGCTCAGTATTTCATAGTTGTTACCAGAAAGGTGGTAGAACCTAAGTTTTGGGAAATTTCAGTTTGAAATTATACTTTCTGAATAACTGCAAAAGAAAATGTGAAATAAACTGTTAATATTCTAGGAACCTTAGAGAGTATCTAGCTTAGTTATTCCTAATATATGTCACAGTGACCTGAAGCTCTTATTGATTCAGAGTCTCAGGACCTCTCTTAGATCAAATGAATCAGAATCTCTGTAGTGGAGCCTAGCGCCCTGATTTCTACACAGTCATCATAAAATGATGAGCATTTTGGAACCCCATGTCAGTTTTCAGGATTTTTCAAACTGTTCCTTGGATCCTCAATTTCTCCTATCCACCAGTGCTCAAATGAAGCATGTAAGAATTTACTTGAAAAATTGAATTTCCAGATTAAAAAATAAGCTGATACTTACACAGTGCTTACCAAGTACCAGGTCTTGTTTTAAGCACTTTACATAAACTGATGAGAGAGAAGCAGAGAGACAGGGACAGAGAGAGGCGTGTGCGCACGCACACGCACACACACACACGCACACACACACACAGAGCAAGAGAGGGAGGGAGGGAAGGAGAAGATGAGAATATACTAAGCTAGTTTACCAACCTCCCTGCCACCACTCCTGCCAATTCTACAGATAGGGAAACTGATGTCCAGAGTTGGGC